TCCTGCCATGGTGGTAGAGATTCCAATGAAGGCCATATGAATGTCTTCCATACAGTAAGAAAAAAGCCATATTCCTAGGAAACTACTAAAAAAGGTGACGCTACCCAGAGCTGATCCATAACCTATAAAAACTTCATTCCAGCAGAGTGGTGAATCCAATTCATAAAGGATAAAGATGGGGGAAACGCCAACTGTCACAAAAAAGTAAGTGATCATTGTAAAAAGTAACAAACAGAGATAATACCGTCGCTTACCAGAAGCATTTTTAAAAAGCATGGAAGTTCGGTACAACAGGTTTTTAAAGCCTTCACTACATGACATGGAAACATTCTGAGATGAAGATTCTGTCACTGAATCACCAAGAAAAAATGAAATATAAATCAAATTAACAGTAAGAGCCATAGCAATAATTAAAAAAGACCACACAAAACCTAATTCTCTGATAAAATAGCCAGAAGACAGTCCTGTTAATCCAGTGACAAGTCCAAGTATGAAGTCGATTATAGCTATTCGAATTGTTCTTTGTTTCTGTTCTGTACATTGATCAACTATGTAGGCAAAACAGGCTCCTAAAAATGTGGTGGAATTGCCACAAAGTGCACCGATGAAGGTAGATGCAATCAAAAGCTGGAATGGAAAAGCAAAATAGGAAAGCAAACAGAGCCAAATACTGGTTGCAAGAGCACCAACAGAAGACAAAATCAAAGGGAATTTTCGTCCTCGATGATCACTATGAGATAGAAGTATGAATGTAGACACCAGACCAGGAATTAACCCACTTATGTCCATCTGCAGATTGAAAAGAGACACTTTCTTCTGAACTTCCTGCAAAGAGACAAAAAGAAGACAATGTGTTTACAGAGATATAGAAAACATGCAAAGAAATAATCATGATGCATACTTTTCTTTACATTTCCAGTAGGTCACCAACAAGGAATCTCTGGTGCATGGGTTTGATACAGCCTGAATCTTCATCCAGTTCATAAAGCAAGTATCAAGAGGCAATATAGTAATTGAAGCTCAGGCATAATATGCAAGTACCGTGGTGGGGACTTGAACTCATAAACAGACAATTGTGTATTGGTGCATGTGTGTCTTATATAGAAGATCCACAGACCCCAAGACATCTGGGACTGGTCATATAATGATTTTTCTTTCTTCTATCAACAGTTTAGCACTGAGATCATGCCCACTGTTGTAAAGCAAGAGCAATACCCTTTCCTGTGATAGATCTTTCTGTCTACTTAAAGGGGAATGAGTGTCACATGTAAATGTCATATTTGATAGGCCTTTATTTAGGAAGCACTCAGTTGCTTTGTTCACATGTGTCTCCACAAATAAGTTTCTTCTAATCTGTTTCTTTACTTACTAAAAAATAAGATAAAACCCAAAGAGCAGCTTTGCACTGACTAAAGATGGTAGCATGCCATGAACTGAGGAGTAAGATAAACCCAGCTCCCCGGAGGACCATAATCACCAGGTACACACACAGACTGGAAGATGTTACAACCACTACGCTAGTTATTTGATGGGAAGAATTTTGGGTGATTTAAAAGCATTTTCTGTTTGCCACTTCTCTCTGTATTTTCCAAATTTTATATAAAGAGTATGTGTCATTTTTATACTAGGGATTACTAAACTCATTTTTTTTTTAAGATTTTATTTATTTATTTCAGAGAGAATGAGAGAGAGCACATGAGAGGGGGGAGGGGCAGAGGGAGAAGCAGACCCCCCACCAAGCAGGGAGCCTGATGCGGGACTCGATCCTGGGACTCCAGGATCATGACCTGAGCCGAAGGCAGTCGCTTAACCAACTGAGCCACCCAGGCGCCCAACTAAACTCATTTTAAAAAATAGATTCATGTAATATTTAGGAAGACCCTAAAACAACTGATGAACCACAAAAATATCAATTTCTGAAATTAATTTTTTTAAGAGACTGTGTTTATTTTTATATATTCAAATAATGCAAGCAATTTCAGGTTATCAGGAAATGTTCTAGTCCCTCAGACTCAAACCTTCAGTCATCTTTGTTTCTAGCCTTTCCCTTCATCCATGCCCACCAACACCTAGTGCTTCTTGCATCCTTTACCTCTTTATAGTCCCTGAGCTGCCCCTGGAAGGACAGGGCTCAGAGTTTTCACCTGAACTGCCCTGGCATCTAGCTGGCTCTCTCCTCAATGCAGTCTATGATGCCAGCCCCCTTACTTTGCAGATCATACACGCGAATGGTGGCAGCATCTTACCAAAACACGCTAGCAGCATGTCTCTCACCTGCTCAGCCCACTGTCTGCTAGAGAAAGCTCACACTCCTAGTCTGTTGTGTAAGGCCACCAAGATGCGGTCCAACCCCACTCTTCTGCATTATCTCCACTCACTCCCCCTCCAATACTCTATGTTACAGGCACAGTCCATAGTCAAGTCCCACTTGGATTTCCCTGAAATGCCCAAACAGATGTAATCTCTCCTTCTATTGAAACTTCTCATATGGCAATTATCATTCCCCAGCTACATTCTTTGGTGTAATGATTAAGAGCTCTGGAGTCAGATCAATCTAGATTCAGATGTAGTCAGTTCTTTTTTTTTTTTTTTAAGATTTAATTGATTTATATATTTGAGAGAGAAAGAATGAGACAGAGAGAGAGCATGAGAGGGGGGAGGGTCAGAGGGAGAAGCAGACTCCCTGCTGAGCAGGGCGCCCTATGCGGGACTCGATCCCGGGTCTCCAGGATCATGACCTGAGCTGAAGGCAGTCGCTTAACCAACTGAGCCACCCAAGTGCCCCATAATGTAGTCCGTTCTTTACACAGCAGTTAGAGTGATCTTTAAAAACAATCAGCTCACATCACTCCTCTGCTCAAAATCCCTCAGTGGCGGGTGCCTGGGTGGCTCAGTCGGTTAAGCATCTACCTGCCTTCGGCTCAGGTCATGATCCCACAGTCCTAGGATCAGTCCCATGTCCGTTCGTCAAGCTCCCTGCTCTGGGGGGGAGTCTGCTTCTCCCTCTGTCCCTCCCCCACTCGTTCTCTCAATCTCTCGCGCTCTCTCTCTCAAATAAATAAATACTTAAAAAAAAAATCCCCCAGTGGCTTTCCTTACGCTGGAATAAATCCGAATTCCTTGCCATGGCATGGGTGGCCAGACATCATGATTTCTCTGATTTCATGTCCACTTCCTCACTCCCCTCAGCTGCAAGCCATTCCTCAAACACTCTGTGCTCATTCGCCTTTGTACTTGCTATTCCCTCTGCCTCCCTCCTGCAGCTCACTTCCTCAATTCAAATGCCACCTCCTCAGAAGGCTTCTGCGACTCATCACACAATCCAAAGCAACCCCACTAACCCTCACCCGGCGCTCTATGAGCTTGTCTGGCTGTATTTTCTTTATATACTTGCCACCCCTCGACAGGACGGGTTCCTTTCATTGAACTGCTCAGGTGTGCCCTCTCCACTACAGCATAAGCTCCAGAAGGGCTGGAACCCTGTCTTCACCACAGTATCACCAGTTCCAACAACAGTGCTTCACAGGGCGCGCCCTAGATATTCATCCGTGCCTGGTTGCATGGATGAATAAGCAAGTAAAATGGGCCTTGTAATTTGCTAGCTGTGTGTGATCCTCACCAAATCATTTATCCCTATAGCTTCATCTGACAAGAGGGCGTAACCCGAGTCCCTATCATGCAGGCTGTCGTGAGAGTTGCATTTAAAGTCAGTATGTCAATATAAGGCAGACCGCACAGATCCTATTACGGATTAGTGCTTAATCAACTTCGGCTGTTTTCCTTTTTACTAGGTCAGGCTTCCTGAGCACATCTCTGTATCTCTAGGGATATAAAAGCCATCAAGTAAATATTTACTGAATAAAGAAGTAAATAAAACAATTATCTTTTATTCAACTCGTCAACAAGATGTTCCAGTTTGAGATTCCTCCTCCCATTTCCACCCCTCCCCCACATCCTGTCTTCTGTCTACTGTCATTCCTAACCCAGCCTTTTACACAGACTACTCTCCTCATCTGCAACCTATACCTTTTAAACTCTGCAGAATGATAATTATATATTAGATAAGGAGATGGGAGAAGTCAGAGTAAAAAGTGCTATACCCTGTGCAAGTTTGAACAGAATGACAATGTAGAGAGAGATATAACTTAAGGAAAGGAATATCAATTTTTAAAAAGTCACAATTTCATAGGTTAAAATGTATAATTACAATTGAGCAGAAAATATTCTCTATCTGCTGGTAATAAGGGATTGTGTTAGTTATTAAAAGGTTTATAAATAAATTACTGAATAAGAACAACTTCATGATCTGGTTAATGCCAACTTGTCCCCTCAAATAGCAGCATCCCTATCTTGAAAGTACCTGAAGAGAACAGACCACAATGGCCAATTTAATACCTCAAAACCAGTCAGTTAACCTGGGAAGTAATGGGTGGGAAGGAGGCGGTGACAAGGGGCTTAAAAATTCCTTCCTCTGCAAAAGTCAACAAACATGCCTAGAATTCCTCTTCTCCCTCAGCCAAGACCTTCCTTCCCACAGCCTTGCCATTTTGTTAAGACGTCCTTTAGAGACTAATCTTGCCCAAGAGAAGTATGTGGGTGTACCTTATAGTCAAACTCAAAGATTTGAAAAATAGGTTAGATCAATATTTATTTATATGGATATACATATTAATCCCAGTGGATTTGAAAAATAAGACTTTTATTCATAGACTTTCAAAATGATAAGTGTAAGTCAAACAGCTCAGTTTATTCTTATATCTGAACCCTGAAATTCATATTATCTTGCATCCAATACATGTGTCCATGTGTGTATTTGTTTTATAGAAGGATAAATAAATATGGTATAACGGTAAGAAGTTCAATACATTATTGTGTTATACACTTTTCTTATAAGTAATTGGTCTTTTGGGGGAGTGGGAAAGAAAAACCTGAACTGAAAAAAAAAATCATTTATTTATTTTATTAGGGACTGACCCTGTGCTATGAAATTTTGTTTTTAGGGTTATAAGAACAGTTCTCAAACTCCTAAACTTCTTTTAGTCAGCAAGTGGTCAGCACCCACCAAGCAGAGCTGGGAATTGAGAAGGAAGCTCATAAAACAGGCAACATTTGTCCTTGGATTTAAAGGTAAAAGGATATTCTTTCTTTTTTTAAGATTTTATTTATTTATTTGAGAGAGAGAGAGAGAGAGAACACAAGTGGGGGGCAGAGGGAGAGGGAGAAGCAGACTCTCCGCTGAGCAGGGAGCCTGATGTAAGACTCGATCCCAGGACCTGAGCCGAAGGCAGATGCTTAACCGACTAAGTCACCCAGGTGCCCCAGGTAAGAGAATATTCTTATACTGAGCAGGAACAGTGTCCAGAAAAGGGGCCAGAGGGAAGTGCTGAAGGTGATGGTGGTGCCTCCTGGGAAGCAAAAGTGTTCCTCCTTCCTAAGGAGCTAAAGGTGAGTGGCCCACCTGACCTGTCTCGGTTATGGGTGGAGACAGAGGTGCTTTCTAGCTCCCCAATCTGAGAAAAAGCACCTGTAGCTCTAGAGCACCAACTTTAAGGGAAGGGATCTAGGGCAATATGTCCTCTTGAATATTAATCTAATTAAAAAACAATGAAACAACAATCAACTTAAACATTCGGCAAAAATCTTCAAAATGAGACCACTGCTCTGGGCAGTGGGGGGATCTCAGCAACTAGGTAAGGCCAGAGGGGCCAACAGTCATCACCTGCACAGTCATAGAGGCCACCAAGGTGACTGAACCACAGCCTGTCTCCCTTTACTCTAGGAGGGCAAGGGCAGCAGATTTTTCCAGACATTCAAGTCCTCTTTCCCTCTGTCCCTCCCATTGCTCCCAGGTGTCTGGTAAAGGAAAGCACAGAATCCAATATAGAAACTGATGAGCCTTTTCACTCCCTGGGAATGACATACATATATAAAAGGAAACATTCTTGAAATCAGGAGACAAAACCACAAGGTGAGACCCTTGGCCCTTCTATTTTTATGACCTCACTTTAGGCTGGAACCTTGATGTCTGTATGGGTTCCCAGTAATTATCAGTTCCAAGAAAATTTCTCCCATGGAAATGAGAAAATGAGGAACAGCAGAAGCTGTGCCAAACAGCCAGGCCTCAGCCTAGCAAGGTTATACCTGACACCTCGGGGAACATCTCCGGAAATGCTAGAGCCTTCCTTCTCGGCCCTTTGCCATTTCTTCCAGGCCTCAGACTCATCTTCCAGTCACACCTGAATTCTCTTCTACTGAGGAGAAAAATCTTAAGAGCCAGCCAGCAGGTGATTCGAATTCCCTTAAACTCTTCTTGTCCTTTGGGGAGGCAGTCCCACTCTTTTGCCATCACTAAATATGCTCTAGGGAAATAGGTCAATGTTTCTAAGTGTGGTCTGTTTTTAAGGCTTTCTGGGGGGAAAAATTCCAAATCTGAATGCATCTCCTTTGCATCTGGACATTGGCAGACTTTGATTTAAAAAAACAAAACAAAACTGAGGGAGCAGGAGAATGGCGATGTACCTCCTCTTTTAAACAAAAAATTGGGGGAGGAGGCTGGAGAGGCAGAAGTAATCTGTAATATCTGGCTAAACATTTTCAGTGCTCTCAGCACCAAAGTGAGTGCTCTCCTCCACACGTAAGCTCACACAGTAGCTCCTCAACATTTGAGAGTCAGAGCTGATCTGAGAACAGCAAATGAGGAATGACACACTGCTTCTCCATCAGCCGATGACGGACCCTGGGGCCCATCGTGTTCAGTGATGGGCTACGTTCTGGGGGTCACTGAAAACTGGGTCATGTACATGCCGTAGAAGGGGGGATGGGTAAGGCCAGAGGGGAGGGAAGGGAAAGGCAGGAGCACCCTGTTTGACCCCACTGAGGTCACCCAGTACTCATTCCAGCTGGCCTTGGTCAAACCTTCAGGCTTTTGCGTGGGAAGGAGGAAGGACACAGCCACTCAGGAGATGAGATTAGGCTGAAATTTTCTCAGAAAAGAGAACAGCCAGTGTCACAGAAGAAGAAGGGGGTTTTACTTAGAAGAAGCAGATTAGAGGTGTCAGGAAACTTCAAACAGGAGAACTGAATAAAGGCTCTTGATTTGGGATTTAAGAGTTTTAAGGTGACCCTTGAGGGATCAACGGATGATGAGTGCAAGGCCCTCTTTCAATGAAAACCCCATTATACATTCCCCTTTTATTACATTTTAGGGATATTTTAATTTCTTACCTCCTGGAATGCAAAAATGGGGCTGCTTTTGTTTTTTCCACACTCAGAAGTATTGCTATCAGATACAAAACTGTAGTTGCTCGTTTCTTCCCATATTCTCCTATACACATACTGGGTTGTCAGTGGGGTAGCCAAAGTCATAGCAAATGCACTAAGGCAAATGGCGGGTTCTACAAAGAAAATCTTCATATTGCCTGGGTAGGTAGCTGAATTCTATGAAAAAGAACGGGGAAGTTAGAGGAATTTTGTGGAGTAAACAGGCAAACTAGGGAACAGAAAGCAGTAAGCACTTACTAAGAGATTAATTTTTACTTTGGAATAGGGTACGCAGTAAACCCGAGACTGTCGTACTTCTATTTTTAAGAATTACGACCTTTTAGGACTCACGCCGCCTTAAAATAGTTTTATAAGTTGTCACCCATTTTCATTTGGAATAATCTCACTACAGTCCCCACCTTGTATACTGCCAACCGGTTTTCAAAAGGGAAACAGTGAGGTTCCTCTGAGAACAGGACAGTTGCGCAATTGTTTGTTATTGTTATTTTGCTGCTTGTTAATAGGACAGGAAGGAGGCCTTCAAAAAGCAGCTCCCAATCGTAAAGGGATTTTTTTTTTCTCGTTTAAACTCACCCCACGGTTACAGTCTTCCTGCCAGGCTAGGCGCGGGTCCGATCATTTTCGGGGCCCGGAATCTCTGGGGGCTGTCTTCTCTTTGGGGGCGGGGGTGCCCTGCGCTTCCTGGGCACGTGCCCAGCAGCAAATACTGCTGGGGACACTGGCCGCCGTCTGGGTCGGGGGCCGGGTCTGCACCGCCGCGCTGGGACGGGGAGGGGAATTTCCGTTGAATTCGACCAAATGCACCTGTCGGGGAAACTCAAGCTCTCATTTTAAAGCAAACCACTCCTGCGTCCAGAGTCACGACGGCGACAGTTCGCTGCGCAGCCCTCGCTCGGCTCCTCGGCGGCCCTGCGGACTCGGTCCCAGGGAGCTGCGGGAGTTGCCGGCGCAACGGGCGGCTACTCCCGGCGCGGTCGGCAGTCTGCCCGGGGGTCGTGGGTGGGTCTGTGGGTCCGCGGCCCGTCCGGTGCTCGGGCGACACTGGCCCCTGCCCGCCGAGCACCACCGCCCGCCGAGAAGGTAGGGCCGCTGGGGTGCGGGTATTGCCGCCGGCGTTGCTCTCACTGTCCTGCCAGGCTCTCCTGCCATTGGGCCCCGTGGCCGGCGACCTCGCAGGGATTGGTCCGCTTGACGTCACTCTCGTGAGCCCGCCCCCAGAGGCCCAGGCTGATCCCACTTTGCAGGGTTGCCGGATTGCCGGCTCCCGGCTGCTGGGCAGCTCCGTGGCCGGCTCCAGGGCTCTGCAGTGAGAAAACATTTCTGGGCCCGGATATTGTTTTTCACAGAAGCACACAGGAGATCAGTTGCAAAAGGAACATATTTGGGATGCAGCTCCCCATAGCATCCGGGTCACAGGGCAAGTGCCCTAAGGAACGCAGAAGATGGGGACAGAGTAGGGAGCTCCCGTGGAGGGTGCAGGAAAGAGAGTGCTCCTGGCAAAGGGCCTGATTTGTGGCCTCTGGCTCTTCCTGGGAGTGTGACCTGGGGCAAATTATTTCATCTCTATGACCCTCCATTTTTTTGTCAAGTGGACATCACAATCCCACACCTAATGAGGGTTTCTAATGAAACCCTCAACCTGTGTGTGTACACCGTAGCCCTGGAGCGAAGGAGGGACTGTACTGCCTTCCAACAAGCCTACCAGCAACACACCCGAAGTTGGATTTTTTAGTTTTGGTGAGGAGGGGGAATGCATACATGAGGAACAATGGGGTATCTCAGTAGAGGCGTTAGAATTTGTTACCGGATTTGGGTTTATGTAATTGTGGGAAGCATTCAAGAAAGCAAGGCCAGGCACTGTATTGGATGCTGTCAGGAAGTGGGGGTAATTCTATGATTGGGTATCTTAATTCTTAGTAAGAAGGAGTGAACGCTAGATGGAGGCTAAAGCCATTACTGATAAAGAAGCAGCTTGTAGTAGACATTTTTGGTCATTTTTGTGGTTTCAACAATGTTCCTGATCTGTGTTCAGACAAGACTGTGGAGTGGTCTTGTTTTTGTCTTGATCATGGTCATAGAATGGCTTTGTCTGATGTTATTCTGTGAAATTGTTTTTAGTCCACAGAATGTGGTCCCGACGAGCTCATAGCAACATCAAGGACAGTACCCAGATGTCACAGATGCTTTCTCTTTCTCCATGCTCAGTAAATGATAGTTGTCACTAGAACGTTGAGTCGGAAGTCTTAGATTTGAATACTAATTGCTACTTGTAACCTAGGATTTGCCACTTAACTTCTCAGCTTCTTCAAATGAGCATTTATGAAGCACTTGATATGAGTATGAAACAGTGGAGCATGGATGTTGGTTGGAAAGAAGGTATACAAAATTGAACAGGACACAGTTGCCTAGGAGGACAGATCATATTTTAAAATTGTAGTATACTGTACTAAGTGCTAAATTAGGGGCACATTAGAAATGGGATGGGCAGTGAGAAGAGCCGACTGACCAAGGAATGTTGGTCTGGAAGGGAGAGGTAGAGACCTGACCACTTCCCAAGATCACAAGGGAGAAGAAATGAAATAATCTATGCAAAAATGCTTTTGAGAATTGTAAAGCATGGCATAGTCTTATTCTCACTAAAATAATATCTATTTTTTTCCTAGCTGCATCCACTTTCTAACTGTTTTAGCCAGCTCAGACCCTCTTGTTGAGATAGGAGGAAAATGACCACTTCAGGTGATTGGCCCCTGTAAAATCAAGCAGGTCAAGGTCATGCCCCAAATCTCAGTATCTTAAAATGGCAAATGGAACCTGAGGAATAGTACGGTTCTCCTGCCCATCTCGATCTCCTGCCCATCTTGGGTCACTGGAAAGCTTTACTCCCTGTCATTTTTACTCATGGACAGATTGATGGAGCCATCATCTTAATATCATCACTGGCATCAAGGCAGAGAAAATAGAATATGGTGAATCTGATACCAGCTTTTAAAGATTTCCCCCTAGAAAAGATACATACCACTTCTGCTCACATTTGATTGGTGCAAACAAGCCACAAGACCATGTGAAAAAGTGAAATCCTATCATGTACTCAGAAAGAGGAAATAATATCAGCAAATACCTCTAATGACATCCTTGTCCCCAAGGCCATGATTTCTCATGAAAATCAAGAGAAGGGAAAGGCATTTAAGAGATGCTCTGTCTATGGGCAGAAACAATTAGTAGCCAATATATATCCAGGCTTTGCCGTCCCTGCTCTTACACATGGAGAGAGCCAGGCCTTCTTAATTTACTCTCGGCTGCGTATCTCTATGTGATAAAAATTGTTATGCAAGCCTTTTTCCTTTTTCCCCCCAAATGATATTAAGTGCTTGAGTATATATTAAGCTAAAGAAGCCTTAGCCAACTGTCAGTTGGAATCTGTCACTCTACTAGGTGCTGTGGATGAAACAAAAAAAGTTAACATACCACAGTTAATTATCAAAGAAATGCCCATTTATTTTTTAGAAAAAGATGAAAATATATGAAAGGAGTAAAAATGATTCAAAACAAAGTCTATGGATATCATCACAGACCAGTAATTGTCATTCACCTACTGCTGTTGTTGCTGCTCATGGGTTCCCACTCAAGCCTTCTTCCCTTAAAGACAGAAATCAAAAATAAAGTCTAGGCACGAAAGGAGGAGTGCCCACTGATTGGGCATAATCTCCCTGACCGTGTTTCTGAA